GATAGATAGATAGATAGATAGATAGATAGATAGATAGATAGATAGATAGATAGATAGATAGATAGATAGATAGATAGATAGATGTTTGATGGATGGGTGGATGGAGAGAGAAATAATAGATGGATAAAGGAATTGAGAGAGAAATGTTTGATGGATGGATGGATGGAGAGATGATGGATAGATGGAGTGATATAGATATAGATAGATATGATAGATGGATGGACGGATGGAGAGAGAGAGATGATGGATGGAGGCTATAGATATAGCTATAGATTGATATGATGGATGGACGGATAGAGAGAGAGAGAGAGAGTTCAGATAGGGTTGCTGAGATAATCAACCTTTACTCCATGAGGAAGGCATTTGGCAATCTTGGCCCAACCCTCTTCCTCCCCAACCACCATACATTCCAAGATAAGCCTTTAGACAGGAGGGGGACAGAGGGAGGAAGGGAGGGGGAGACCAACTTTTCATCTGCAAATTCTCCAAACTCAGCCAATGCAGCCATCGGGGTGATTTGGAAAAAAGAGACTGCAGGAAGAGCTGATTCTCTCTCTCCCCCCCCCCACCTGCCTGACACACACACCCCTTTTTTTCCTGGGAATTCTTGCACCTCCCCCTTCGCTCCTCTGCAGGAGTCCTTGACTTCCAACTACCAAGGATGTCCCAGAATCGTTGCAACTAGCTTAACAACTGTCCTGCTCAGCCACAGAGCTTCTGACCCTGCTTGTCACAGGTCGAGGACTGCCTGAAGAGGATTGAAGCCATCACGGGTCCGTTCCCCACCCACCTTGAAGTTTCTGAAACCCCCCTCTCCTCTGGCCTCCTTCCAGCTACAGTTTTTTTTCCAGGAGGAAGGGAGCAACAGCAAGGTGTGTTACTCCTCCTCTGATCTTTGCTCTCCTTACCTACCCTTCCCCGAATTGTCCCCTGGCCCTTCCCTCCCCGCCTGTTTGTCTGTCCTGGGTCCCCCTCCCCACCCAGGGCCCTTTAGCCCCCACCCCCCACCCCTACCACATACCTGCCATACTTTCAGGGTTGACCTTATCCCAACCTTCTCCCAAGTCTTCCCCTCCTTATCCCATTTCTCCCTCCGTCCTGGGACAGAGTTTTATGGTGTTGACACAAGCTTTCCTGGTGCCTGGTGCCTGGTTGACACGAAACACACACACACCAAGGTGGGAGCTAGCCATTCCACAGACCCCCCCCCCCCAAACCAGGAGTCCCCAAACTTGGCAACTTTAAGACTTGTGGACTTCAATTCCCATTCTGGGAATTGAAGTCCACAAGTCTTAAAGTTGCCAAGTTTGAAGAGTTCTCTATCCTAAACCCAGCTTGTTGAAAGGAATGAAGGATATCCTTAAAGATAACTCTTCAGTTGACCCAGAAAATTTCAGCTCTTGGTTTGGGGATTCTTCCCCATGGAATAATGAAGGTGGCTCTTTTAAGAACCTCCATTGGGGGAGCTGGGGAAGATAGGAGTTGTAGTCCAATGGCTCAGGGTGCCAAAGGGTGAATGGAGATCAGCTAAGCTTTAGAGAAACTGGCCACAGGCACTGAGTCATGGGGGAGGGGGTTTAAGGTGGGGGGTCAGACTCAGGAAGGTAAACAGAGATCTCTTACCTCCTCCAGAGTTAGGGTTAGGGAGGGAGGGAAGGTGGGAGGGAGGAAGAAAGGAAGGGAAGGCTGGGAGGAAGGAAGGAAGGAAGGAAGGAAGGAAGGAAGGAAGGAAGGAAAAGGAAGGAAGGAAGGAAGGAAAAGGAAGGAAGAGAGGGAGGCGATGGGGAAGGAAGAGAAGGAGGAAGGGAGGAGAGAAGGAAGGAAGGAAAAGGAAGGAAGAGGGGGAGGAAGGGAGGAGATAAGAAAAGAAGGAAGGAAGAGAGGGAGGAAGGGAGGCGATGGGGAAGGAAGAGAAGGAGGAAGGGAGGAGAGAAGGAATGAAGGAAGGAAAAGGAAGGAAAAGAGGGAGGAAGGGAGGAGATAAGGAAGGAAGAAAAATGAAGGGAGGAAGGAAGGGAGGAGATAAAGAAGGAAGGAAGGAAAAAGAAGGAAGGAAGGAAAGTCAGTCAGATTATTTCCTTTTAAAAGTGGGGAAGTGAAAACTACATGGTACTGGGGCGTCTGTATCACTATCAACTCCCCAAATTCTCAGCCCCAGCACATCTGGAGGTGGCGCAGGAGTGGTTCAAAGCATCAACATTGGCCACTTAAACATGGGTGGACTTCAGTCCCCAGAATTCCCAGTTCTGAGAATTGAAGTCCACCCATCTTCAAGTGGCTGAGTGGTGGGATTCAATTTTTTTTTACTAATGGTCCTGTGGGCGTGGCTTGGTGGGCGTGGCAGGGGAAAGGATACTGCAAAATCCCCATTCCCTCCCAATCAGCTGGGACTCGGGAGGCAGAGAATAGATGGGGGCGAGGCCAGCCAGAGGTGGCATTTGCCGGTTCTCTGAACTATTCAACATTTCCGCTACCGGTTTGAATCCCACCACTGCATCCAACCCAGGAGATCATAAATTCAAATTTTGCATGAGTTTGGGGGGCTGTCAAAGAAGGAATTATATGCCAGGAACAGCCAGTCCTGGTGCTTTAACACTATTCAGCCGGCTGAGAGAATACAAGCTTTCATTGTGCCCAGAAGTAGAATTGCTAGCGAAATACTGCAATATCTGTTCACAAACCACCATCTGGACCGTTATAGGCCGGGTCACCTGTTAACCCAGCAGTGGCCAAGTTTTCATTTGGCAGCAACAGCCACCGGATGCCAACCGCACAGCAGGGTGCCCAGCAATGACCCCCACAATGTCAGCGGGCAGCTCAGAGAATCGGCAGGGAACCCAAGAGCTCATCCAGTCCAACCGGCTGCAAAATGGCAGAATTCAAGGACATCGTCATCATCCCCTCTGCTTGAAACTCTCCAGGGGAAGAAGCAAATTCCCCTCCTTGGGTGCCATCCCCTAATATTTAAATACTATCCCCAATATTTCATTGGCACCTTCTGTTTCATCCCACCTGTTCTAGCCTTGCCTTCTGGGGCAAGAGGGAAGTAATTTGAACTTTCTACAACACAAATTCTCATTTAAGGTTTGGATGGCAGCTATGGTTTCCTCTTGACCAGCGAAATATTTCTGAGTTTTCCCCCCACTTCCTTTAGGACAGGGGTCTCCAACCTTGGCAATGCTGGCTGGGGAATTCTGGGAGTTGAAGTCCGCCAGGCTTAAAGTTGCCAAGATTGGAGACCGTTGCTCTAGGATAGCGTTTTCTCAACCTTAGCCACTGCAAGATATGTAGACTTCAACTCCCAGAAACCCCTGCTGATGAACTTTAAGACTTCAACTCCCAGAATGCCCCCCCAATCTCTGCTTTGAGGAGCCCCTTTCTCCGGATAAAGAGCCGCAAGACTTATCCAGTTCCAAACGGTTAGGAACTCCTGAACCAGAACTGAAGCGGGAGGAGCCTACTCCGAGATGATTCAGAGAAGGGGAAAGAAAAAAGGATCTACTCTGGATCTTCCAGGGATCGCGTCGCCCCGCATTTCAGCAAGCCCGTCTCTGCTGGGGACACCATTCCTCTTTTTCCCCCCCAATTGAAGAACGCCACAAGGGGCAATCCAGATGCCAACTGCCCCCGAACGCCACAGCCCCGCCTCGTTTTAATCCGGAGTCGATTCGATTCACCCCTGGCTGAGCTCGCCTTTGCCGGGGAATCGCTTCTCTCTCGAGCCAGCGACATTCCCGCAGAAAGCAAAGGGGAGCCGGTGGACAGTTGATCCCTCCAGCCATAGGTGGATTCCGCCTTCCTCGTCCCGCGGGAGCGCCGCTCGGACCCTCCTTCACCCTGGCTCAGCCCGGCCGGGAAGCATGGGGGGTGTAGTCCTGGGAATCTGGGTGGAACCTCCTTCGGGGACGGGGGGGGGGCTTGGGGCGCAGAGACGGTTCAGCCCAGAAACGCCCCCCACCCAGCAAAGCGGTCCGGAGTTGGGCGGCTCAGCGAAGGGGGCTGCCTGGTGCAAGCAGGAGAGCCAGCCGGGCGGTGGGCTTGCAGGGGAGGGGACTTCTCTGAGCCCGACCAAGCGGCGGGGCGCAGCTGCCCGCTTCCACGGAGCCCCCTTAGGGCCGGTGTGTGTGGGGGGTGGTGGTGGTGGTCGAGGGGCGGGAGGGGAAGCAAGGGGGGGCGAGCGCCGCTCTTCCATCCTCGCCATCCCGGGCGGGCGCGCGCATGCTCCTGCTCCATCCCTGCCGCCCCCAGACCCATTAATTCGACTGCAGAGAAAGGAGCCCGCGCAGGCGACCCGGGATTGTCAGCCGGTTCCAGAGCCGGGCAAGGAGCATCCTCCCTCCCCCACACCCACCCCTCAAGCTTTTCCGACGCCCCTTCCCCGCGGGAGAGCCGGAGGACCCCCTCCCCTCCGCGGCATGTCACAGACCCCCTTCCCCAGGCAGAAGAGGAAGAAGGCGTCGGGCTTGCGGCGGCCCCCTCCCCTCGCCGCCCCCGCCTCCCTCGCCCTCCGGGGGTCTCAATCGGGCGGACCCCCTCCCCGCCTCGCTCTCCTGCCGCCGCCCCCCCCCCGCTCCTTCCCTCCCCCGGTGGACCCCAGTGAAGACATCTCGGTTCGTTCTCACCAGCTGCTGCTCCTCCGGAGACGACTCCGCGGCTCCTGCGGGCTCGCTGCTGCCAGGCTGGGCGGCGATGCGAAGCGCCTGCTGGACTCGCCGCTCCTGGCGCTCCCGCAGCAAGTGCAGCTCGCACAAGCCGGCCAGGGTGCCCTCCAGCCAGGCGCGCAGCCGGCTCCGCTCCGGGCTGGCCGGGAAAGAAAAGGCGCGGATCATGGTGCCGCCAGCCGGCCAGGCAGCTGCAGCCCTTCGGCGGCCGGGCGGCGCCTGCTGCAGCTCCGGAGCCGGGAAAGCGCAGCGGCGCTTGGGTGGCTGCTGCGGCTCCGGCGCTGTCACCGCCTCATTTGCATGGGCGGCGCTCATTGGCTCGCCTGCCCGAGACGGATCGGGAGGCTCGGCCTCTCATTGGCCCTCCCCGGCTCAGGGCCGCGTCTCCCATTCAAACAATTGGGCCCTCGCCCAACCGAGCCACGCCATTGGTTCCCCCCTCTCGGCTTTATTTACAAAAGCCCCCCCTCAGCCCGGTGGGGATCGGGCATTGGCTCAGCTGGGAGGCTTTATTTGCATGGCGTCCTCCCTGAAGTCCACCCATTGGAACTTGGCCCGTTGGGACCCGCCCTCGCAGCCAGCTATTGGACGGTTGGGGGAATGGATCTGCATAATCCCACCGCGGAGCCCGCGCTCCTGACACACCTCCTGGGCCCTTCATCTGCCCCGCCCCGAGCGCGCGTCCTTGATTTGCATAAGCGAGCCCTTGATTCAAGCTATTGGTTCCCTCCCCTCCCTGGTTTCTCTGCAAGCCCCGCCCCGCCAATCATCGATTGGTTCGCTCGGCTCCATTGCCCTGGCTGGCCACGCCCTGGATGGGAGCCACCAACGCCCTGGATGTTAAATCATTTTAAACCGTTCATTAAATGATTAAATCGTAACCGATGGTCAAAAATTCCCCGTTTTCCTGATCTCCGGTTCCCCGACCCGCCTGGATCCCAGCGATATAATTGGCCAGGTCATTTGCATGTCTCCGCCCCCTTTAGTTTCTCATTGATAAAAATCTGGCCCCGCCCACCGAAGTGAAAGTGTTTCTGACCGATTTCTGGTTTCTGAATGAATGAAGCTTCGGGGATCGCCCCTCCCGCCCCTTCCCTCCCAGCTGGTCCCCGTAGCTTCTTTTGTCCGAAAGGGCGACTTTGCTTCAAGCGGGCAGCCCGTCAAAGGCAGCTTCCAGGCGGATCCCCTGCACTTTCCTCTTAATGCCGGGGGCTGGGCGGTTTGGGGGGCTGGGATCCCCGAAAGCTTTTGAGGAAAGGACCCGCTGATTGTCCCGATGCAGTTCAGACAACCGTCGCTACGGAGCCCAGTTCAAATTCACCCGCACACACACACACCGGGAATCAGGAATGGAGAGAAGAGCGGAGAGCGCCAGGTTGGGGAAAGTAGGTTGGCTGACTTGGGGATTCAAACCCGGCTCCGGACAGGGGGTTTTGCCCTCCCCTCCGCTAAGCAGCACTCCAAAATCAGGGGGCCAAGACCAAACGTTTGAGATTCGCTGGACGAGATGATGCCCTCCTATTCTGTATCTTCCCATCAGTGTAAAAACGAAGTTTTTAGAGGAAGGGAGGGAAGGGAGGAAAGAAGGGAGAGAGGAAAGGAAAGAAGGGAAGAAGAAAAGGGAAGGGAGGAGAGAAGAGAGAGAAAGAAGGAAAGAAGGAAGAAAGAAAAGGGAAGGGAAGGGAAGAGAGAAGGGAGAGAGGAAAGGAAAGAAGGAAGAAAGAAAAGAAAAGGGAAGGGAGGAGAGAAGGGAGAGAGGAAAGGAAAGAAGGAAAGAAAAAAGGGAAGGGAAGGGAAGAGAGAAGGGAGAGAGGAAAGGAAAGAAGGGAAGAAGAAAAGAAAAGGGAAGGAAGGAAAGAAAGGAGAGAGGAAAAGAAAGAAGGAAAGGAGGGAGGAAAAAAGAAAAGGGAAGGGAGGAGAGAAGGGAGAGAAAAAAGGAAAGAAGGAAGGAAGAAAAGAAGGGAAGAGAGGAAAGAAGGGAGAGAGGAAAGGAAAGAAGGGAAGAAGAAAAGAAAAGGGAATGGAGGAGAGAAGGGAGAGAAAAAAGGAAAGAAGGAAGAAAAAAGGGAAGGGAAGAGAAGAGAGAAGGGAGAGAGGAAAGGAAAGAAGGGAAGAAGAAAAGAAAAGGGAAGGAAGGAAGGAAGGAAGGAAAGGAGGGAGGAAGAAAAGGGAAGGGAGGAGAGAAGGGAGAGAAAAAAGGAAAGAAGGAAGAAAGAAAAGGGAAGGGAGGAGAGAAGGGAGAGGAAAGGAAAGAAGGGAGGAAGAAAAGGAAGGGAGGAAGAAAAAAAGGGAAGGGAGGAAAGAAGGGAGAGAGGAAAGGAAAGGAGGAAGAGAAGAAAAGGGATGAGAGAAAGGAAAGAAAAAAGGAAGGAAGGAAGGAAGGAAAGGGAAGAGAGGAAAGAAGGGAGAGAAAAGGAAGGAAGGACAATAAAAGAAGGGACGGAGGGAGGAGATGGGGAAGAAAGGAAGGAAGGAAACTCAGATTATTTTCTTTTAAAAGGGGGGTCTGTACCACTACCAAATTCTCAATCCAGGCACATCTGGAGGTGGCAAATGGGGAGGGGGGTCAAAGCATCAGACAGACACACACACACACACATACACACACACAGAGATGCTCCGAAGTCACCCTGGCTGAAGACTTGAAAGTGAAAATGCTTTCTGGAAAATTGGGGGGAGCATCTTTGCCAGGAGCCTTTTGAACAGTTCTGAGCATCCTTTTTGGGGATTTGGGGGGGGGGGGAGCTTCAACCTAACCAGGCTCCTCCGCTCCCCAAGCCCTTCTGGGATTTGGGACTGCACCTTCCATCACCCGACAAAGCATTGGGTCCCTGGGGCTGGAAGATGAGGTCCGCCACCCCTTGGAAACCCCAGTGGTGGTGGTGGTAGGGGGGGAAAGGACTTTGTTTCTAAGAGATCCACTACAGAGGAACCTTGGCAGGAGACAGACGGATTTCTGGCCAACGGTCCCCCCGTTGCAAAGGCTGCCCCTTGGGTGATTCTTGCAGGAGAGAAAAGAGGAGGAAGATGAGGAGGAGGAGGAAAAGGAGAAAGGAGAGAAAGGAGGAGGAGGAGGAGGAGCTGGCTCTCAGCTTCCAGGGAACAGCCATGCTCCGCGATGCTCCAGCGGCCAGGAGGAAGGAAAGGGCTGGCAGAAGTGACAGTGACAAGGACGGGTAGCAACAGTGGTTTATAAATGGTGGGGATAATAATAGTGTGATGAGGTAGCCATGGTGATGGAGAAGCGGGTAGCCATGGCAATGGCAGCGGGCGGGGGGGGGAGGGATGCTGGCAGCCTTTTGCTAAGGACAGTGAGAAATAGCAATGTTGGCCTTGTGGAGTGGGGGGGGGGAGAAGGAAGGAAATAGGAAGAACGCATCTCTTTGAGGCTGCTGGCAAGCTGTGGTGGACACCATCTCTGCCTTCCTCTCACCGTCATGCTGGGCTGCCCAGGTGCCACGGAGCCTCACACGGTTGGTTTGGTGCATGTGGGATGCAATTGGGAGACAATCCCCCCCCCAAGGCTGATCCCCAAAAGCTTGGTTACTCAAGACGGGGCACAAACCTCCACAGCAGGAAACTCAAAATAAAACTCCATAATGCCTCCCCCCCCCCCGACCAAAAGGGGTACTAGTAGAGGGGTAGTAGCAGCCACTTTTAAGCGGCTGCTTGTACCTCTCTAGCTCTCGGGAGTAATCCTGAACCGATGCAAAATGCATTTCTTCCTCTCACATTTGGGAACCCGTGTCAATTCCATACCTGAAGTTCTTGTCAATTCTCCAATTAGCACCTGTGTCAATTTCCCCATCTGGAACCCATGTCAATTCCTCACTTGGCATGCATGTCAATTCCCTATCTAGAACCCATGTCAATTCCCTATCTGGAACCCATGTCAATTCCACGCCTGGAACTCAATTCCTCACCTGGCATGCATGTCAATTCCCCATCTGGAACCTGTGTCAATTCCACACCTGGAATACATCTCAGTTCCCCATCTACAACCCTTGTCAATTCCACACTTGGGTCCCTTGTCAATTTTACACTTGGAACTCAATTCCTCACCTGGCATGCATGTCAATTCCCTATCTAGAACCCACGTCAATTCTCATCTGGAACCCATGTTAATTCCATACCTGAAGTTCTTGTCAATTCTCCAATTAGCACCTGTCAATTCCCCATCTGGAACCCATGTCAATTCCTCATCTACAGCCCTTGTCAATTCCACACCTGGAACTCAATTCTTCACCTGGCATGCATGTCAATTCCCTATCTAGAACCCATGTCAATTCTCATCTGGAACCCATGTCAATTCCACGCCTGGAACTCAACTCCTCACCTGGCATGCATGCCAATTCCCCATCTGGAACCTGTGTCAATTCCACACCTGGAATGTGTGTCAATTCCACACCTGGAATGTACATCTCAGTCCCCCATCTACAACCCTTGTCAATTCCATACTTGGGACCCTTATCAATTCCTCACCGGGAAGTGTGTGCCTGCTAGGAGCTGGCTTTTTAGCAGATTTTTAGCCTTGCTAAAGCCCGCCAGCCACCGCCGAATCTGTTGCAGGCATCCAGATTTTCTAAGCATACGCCGAGCGAGAGAGGCGCCACGTGCCGAAGCATGTGAGGCCGAGTCGTGTTCTGGAAAAAGTGATTGGAAGGAGGGAAAAGCTGTTTATTGTCTGTATTCCATTGTTGCTATAGCCACAGCCTGCAGGGAAAATCCTCCTACCTCCCTCTACTTGATTCCAGGCGCCGCAAGGAATCTCACCAGGGATCAGATCCTTTAACTCAGGGGTGTCCAAACTTGGGAACTTTAAGACGGGTGGACTTCAACTCCCAGAATTCCCCAGCCAGCTATGCTGGCTGGGGAATTCTGAGAGTTGAAGTCCACCCGTCTTANAAGAGAGGGAAGGAAAGAAAGAAGGAAGGAAGGAATAGAGAGGGAAGGAAGGAAGGAAGGAGCTATGCTGGCTTCAAGAGACCCGGTTCTTCTGAAAGGGACCCTGAGCCTTTCCAGCCTCTCTTGCCAAAGACCTCCGGATTTACCTCCGACCGAAATCCTCCGCCAGGGGTTGTGCGGGTACATGAAGTCGGCGTTCTGGATCTGGTCGTTGATGTCCTCGTCCTCGTTGAAGGGGAAGGTTCCGCTCAGGCTGACGTACA